GATATAGTGCCAAAACACTGAAGGCACAACTAAGGGACATAACTCTACATGGTGAATAGCGGAGTAAGACTTACCTGTGTCCCACCAATCAATTATCAATTACATACTAATTATTATTCAAATGGGTCTGTTGGGGAGGGTAACACAGAAATGTACAACTTCAAAACATGACAAGGGCACTCATGGTTGCACAAATCTTCCTCTTGACAAATGTTGCAGAATTTACTCTTCACCAATCTATACAGTGGTTCCTTTGATCAACACAAGCTGATATATCTGCATAGAGCAGTCGATGATTTATATAATCCCAGGAATCCAATCAAAATCAGGTCCAAGAGTGCTATGTGGAATGTGGCATAGTGTACTAAACCAATTTTCCAATGTATGGATTCAAACAGGAGTCCCCAAACCATCAGATGGTCAAACTATTTAACTTATGGATTTGGGGATCAGCAGGCATATTATTCAGGCAGTGATTTCAAGAGTTGACTGGGGGCTCAGCCTGTATCAAGCGCTAATATTGGGTACATGTTTTAAAGCTTTTTATACCTAAAATACTGAAGGTTGGGGGAAATAAGATAGACTAACATTTAGTCTTTGAAATCTTGTGTTACACAATATCCTTCTTGACTCTAAATTTATATATTTTTAAATTTCCCTAGGCTGATTTGGAATAGAGCTAGCTGGTGCTGGCTAGACTTGCTTTTGTATGCATTTCTAGACTATTTTTTTTTCATAAAATAAATATATTCCACAGTCATGGTGCAGGACTAGAAATATGAGTGAGTGAGTAAGTATGGTTTTACGCTGCTTTTAGCAACATTCCAGCAATATCACGGCAGGGAACACCAGAAATGGGCTTCACACATTGTACCCATGTCAGGAATCGAACCCGGGTCTTCGGCGTGACGAACGAATGCTTTAACCACTAGGCTACCCGGAGGAAATAGGAGAAAAGAATAATTTGAAGTAGTAAATAAATTACTAAATTTATTACAGCATTATGCCCAGTACCGTATTTGTTCTTATGGTTAATTCTGTCGGGGGAAAATGTTATCCTTTTTGCTTCAGGCTATGACTGCTGGATGGAGCGCGAAAGGACAAACACGTTAATGTAATGGTTCATTTTGGATGCAAGGTTACTACACATGAATTTTTTCCCGCTTCAGATATTTATGTTGAAAATGGCTAAAAAGTAACAAGTGTATCTGCAAAACAAGTAATTAAATTGGTCTGGCCTAACCGAGTTCATTTGTTCATCAAATATATGTAAACCATAAAATATAAAAAGTGTACAAAGAGACATTAAGACATTCAATTCTAGATGTCCATAATACTGCTGTAGAGCTGTAGATGAGTGCATTCACGTCCATCACCAGCATGGCTTCAAGATCATCCACTAAGTAGTGGATTTAAGAGCCTGAGCTGATTCCTCCGAAGTATCCTCTGAAAATGTCATTGTGGAATCACCACGGCCATGTTCTACTTTGTGGGAGCGCGGAAGATGTATGTCATGGGTGCTGGACCTAACAAATCCTCAGACCTTGTAGAAATGATGTCTGGGATTTCTGTTTATAAATGTCTATCATCTTTTCAGGGGCGTTGAGGTAGCCAAGTGTTTTCTTGTCACACTGAAGGCTGGGTTCGATTCCCTACATGGGTATGATGTGTGAAGCCCATTTCTGGTGTCCCCTGCTGGGATATTGCTGGATTATTGGTAAAACTATACTCACTCACTCCTACTCCCACATGTCCACTTCTAGATTTATTGACAAGACATTACCATCAACTTTCCTGAATTGTTTATGTTCAGCATAAGTGTAAAGTTTAATAATATACACACACACAAGGCCTCTTACTGTAAGGGGGAGTGGGATGGCTGAGCGGGGCAAGCGTTCTCTCATCCAGCTGCTGATCCAGGTTTGATTCCTAACATGTGTACAGTATGTACAATCAGGCTGAAATATTGCTGCAAGTCCTATAAATGCCTTTTCACCCACTCAGGCCATAAGATCACTGCTTCTGAATAGATTTGGACGGACTTCTTTTTACTACACCCCCATATGTTTATATGGGTTAAAGTATCATTATCATGTTGGAAACACAAGGGAATACTTGGGTACTTAATACTTGGATTAAAATGCAGATGGAAATTTTGTGTTTTGAATTGACTGGTATAGCGTTGATGTCTTGAACCAGCATAAAATCATATTATATACAACTCAAAAGAACTTGAACTCCTTATTTTTCTAAATGTCTAAGTAAATCTGTTATGGTATGAAAGATTATTTGTAGTCTCATGAAAAAAATGGAATTTCTTCAATTTCTTTTGAGTAGTATATTTTTTAATGTGTTCAATTATGATGCGGAAGCTAGCACTGACAAGTCACTACACCGACTAAAGCATGAAATCCCTATTGCTGAATAGCAACTGTGGATCATTGAATTAGGAGGTAGACATTTGATAGTTTTAATCTTGTTTATGCTACTCTTGAAATTAATTGTCATTAGTAAAGAAATGTTGGGCAATATACGAACCACAGTACATCATTATTCACAGGATAACCTCCACATTTGGCCTAATCTTCATCTATCACATACTTGAAGTCAGACGTTCACTTTATCCTCCCAGTCACAAAGGTCATCACTGATGCAAAATGCAAGTCAATAGACAAATAATTCAGAGGTAAAAAAAATAATCAACTAATAAATTTCTCCTTTTTATAAAATTCACTATAGCAACCAGAACGAACTAGCTTTAAGAATGAGAGCTTTCAACCTGAAATTGTAGTGTTTACTGGAGGCCGACCCCAGAAGTAGATTAGGTAGTGACAACTTTATGAACCCAAAAAATGTCTCTTGATTTTGATTAGTAAACCTTTTTCAGAAATAGTCTTTTGTTTCTTTTCTAAAAACTGATACATGACATTTAGTGCTATGTGTGTTTTTACTTTAAAATCTCATTAAGTCAAACTTCAATATCTTAAGATGGCGTTAATCTATTTAATGGTAGAATAAGAACTTGATTTATGTTTGTTACATTGTTAATTTCAAGTAAATAATAAGTAAAAAATCCCCCCTGTCCCCAGTGTCCTATTGGACTCAGAACCCAGATAAAACCCAGCTTCTTCTGTTGGTTCTCTCGACTCTACCTTTTTTTAATGTATGTTGAAACAATGGTAACATCCTTTACTTCCATCTTTTGGTCTTATAGTTATTTTTAAAATTGGTTTACAAGACCAACCCCCCCAAAAAAAACAGAAATTAGAGGAAAATATATATTGACTTTTGACAAATATCTTTTGGCTGACTCTGTTTTACAATTAGGTGAAATGAAACAAACCCACAAGATTTTATCACCGCTCTTCATAAGAAATGGTGAATATGTATAAAAATCTCTATTACAAAAAAACCCAGTCAATTATCTTTCGGTTTCTTACTATGTTAAACCTTGTTTGTTTTTCATTCATTAGAAGCAGTACAAATCAGGAAATTGAAATTTGTTAAAACAAAATTCTGACAACCTACACTGAATTTTAGGCCAAACCACGGACGTATATACGTCTTTGGCCAAACATTATGTGAACTAACTGATAAAAACTAAAAGGCCACAAGATACTGCGAGATGAGCCACACGACTAGACACATTGGGCTATAACTAACCTTGTCACTGTTTCTAAAAAACAGATCTACAGAACACATGAAGACAGTTGGAGGAAAATATAAAGCTGTGAATGATGAGCCTTCAGCATGAAAATCTGCTGTAGTACCAATTGTTTCTTATAATAAAAAATATTATGACGGTGAACACAGTTGGGCGTTTCTTTATAGTTTAGTTACAACATACTTCAATTCATAATACAGTGTCCTGTGGTAACCTTTGTCAGAATAGAATTATTTGTGGTCAAAATAGTATCATCTGTTGTCAGAATAGTGTCATCTGTTTTCAGAATAATATCAAATGTCAGAATAGTATCACTTGTGGTCAAAATAGTATCATTTGTTGTCAGAATAGTATCACATGTTGTCAGAATAGTATCAAACGTCATCAGAATAGTATCAGATGTTGTCAGAATAGTATCATTTGTTGTCAGAATAGTATCAGATGTTGTCAGAATAGTATCACATGTTGTCAGAATAGTATCAAACATCGTCAGAATAGAATCATTTGTTGTCAGAATAGTATCACTTGTCAGAATAGTATCATATGTTGTCAGAATAGTATCATTTGTTGTCAGAATAGTATCATTTGTTGTCAGAATAGTATCATTTGTTGCCAGAATAGTATCATATGTTGTCAGAATAGTATCATATGTTGTCAGAATAGTATCACTTGTCAAAATAGTATCATTTGTTGTCAGAATAGTATCATTTGTTGTCAGAATAGTATCATATGTTGTCAGAATAGTATCACTTGTCAAAATAGTATCATTTGTTGTCAGAATAGTATCATTTGTTGTCAGAATAGTATCATTTGTTGCCAGAATAGTATCATATGTTGTCAGAATAGTATCATATGTTGTCAGAATAGTATCACTTGTTGTCAGAATAGTATCATTTGTTGTCAGAAGAGTATCATATGTTGTCAGAATAGTATCATTTGTTGTCAGAATAGTATCATATGTTGTCAGAATAGTATCACTTGTTAGAATAGTATCATATGTTGTCAGAATAGTTTCAATTGTTGTCAGAATAGTATCATATGTTGTCAGAATAGTATCACTTGTTGTCAGAATAGTATCATTTGTTGTCAGAATAGTATCAAATGTTGTCAGAATAGTATCATTTGTTGTCAGAATAGTATCATATGTTGTCAGAATAGTATCACTTGTCAGAATAGTATCATATGTTGTCAGAATAGTATCACTTGTCAGAATAGTATCATTTGTTGTCAGAATAGTATCATTTGTTGTCAGAATAGTATCATTTGTTGTCAGAATAGCATACACTCATGGGAAAACAGAACAGTCAAGACAGAAGAAGTAAAACAAACAAAAATAGGAGTTTCAATATTTTCAAATGTTTTTGTTTTTATTTAAATACTGGCAAATAATATAAATTGGGTCAAATTTCAATAATGAAAAAAAGAAATATACATACATGATTTAAATCTGTGAGCTGAATAGATAAGCATGGACATGAAGATGACAGACAGCTGAGAAAGTGGAGAAATGTACAAGACATGTCTATAGTACAATATACAAGTTGACAGAGGACACAGGCAAGTAAGTCAAACTGACATAAAACTGACAAATCAGAAACTAAAAATGAAATACACACAGAGTAAGGAAAACTGCAGTAGTGTCTTTACTGTTAGATATATCTAATAAAAAATGTGATTTATGGATAGATGGGAAGAAAATAAATTCTGCAAACAAATAGTTTAAATCATGTTCAAGTTTGGTCTCAAAAACTAAGCTGACAGTTAACAAACAGAAGGAGCTACAGGTTTCACAAGGTCCTCATAAAGATGTTGAGATGGTCATCAATTTGAATCCAATATGAGGAAATGAGGTTAGCTGGAGAACAAAGTTTAAACAGACTGAAATGAAACAACATCACAATGGTTTGATAGTTCGTCATAAGGTTAAATTGACCGTATGAAATAAAGCTTTTTGACATTTCACTTCAGTATAAAGGCTGCTTCAACAGCTTTCATAATCTTTGGTTTGCACATGTCCCCTGAGAGGTATATTTCAATCATAGGTTATGGTATTAAAGATAAGAAAACTAAAGTAATAATATCATTGGTTTCTCAGGCCCTGCTTATCAGGAAAACACCTTTAAAAGATCGCATTCTGTTTTCACTCTAACTTTGAAACTTAAAAATATAAACAGGTAGGAGACTTTAACCACTCTTTTAAAATCATGTCGCCTTCCTGTGTCACTGTTCTAAAGTCACTGACTTAGGCTATTAAAAAGTTGTTTCTCATCAGAAGATTTTCGTAAAAATTACTAGATCACCTGCTTTTTTTTTATCTCAGTAGGACAAAGACTGGTTAGCAACCATGGCAGAAAGATTAAGACAAGGACAGTTAATATTTCTTTAGCAAGGCTTTTTTGATATTTTTGAAATCATATATATTTTTGGGTACTGACATAATGCAGCCGGTATGATGATGAGAAACAATTTTTACATCTTTATGAATTTCTTTCATGAAACAAATGCTTTTATTCAGCCTGATATGAAGCTCTCCTATGATAGTCTGTTGTGTAAGATATACCTGTGGACCTCTACGCACTTTTGTAACCAACTCCAGGATAATATTCTAACTTGGCTTAATAGGTGCTCCATGACAATTTGGTTGGTTTAGCCTTGGAACATAATAGCTATGGCTAAAAGGTTTGCAAAGACAACGACAGTGATTGAATCTGACAAATGGTTTAATCTTTTCTAATTGATGAAGTGTTAAGTTTGGCAGTGTTTTAATTTACAATGATAATGACGAGTGGCCACATGACAGTTTTCATATGAGAAGTAATAAAAATATCAACAACATAGACAATAGAGCTGGCAAACAGCTATGTATAATGAATGCAAGACTGTACTATCTTCCACAAAACTACATACAACTATCATGACACATAAATATCTGCCCATATAAAACCAAGAGAAAACATACAGCATATCCAATCTCACTTCCATATCGAGTATTTTCATGTATGGTACTGACTGCTGTCTACAGTACAACTTCAATTCTTAAAGCATTTGAGTATCACATATTGCTTCATCCTAACTTTGGGTATGTCACTGGTGATAGAGGTGATTCTGAAGCACTTATGATAGCTGGCAAACTCAAAAGCCTAATTCTTATGAATATGGCTCCAACACATTTGTTAGAATGGTAGTCAGGTGTAAATAAATAATCTCAGTACATATCTTCTTATCAAATATTATAAGCAGATAGAATGAAAATAAACATCTGATAAAATATCTATCAATAAATTGAAAAATTGAAATAAATTTGGAGATTATATTAGGGAATGGGTTTATGTCTATGTTTATGTACAGGGATGGGTGATGGATTAAGACAAGCTTAGTTGATTAACCTTGGTGTATAAAAGAAAAGAAACGATTGACCATTGACATTCATTGAGGGAACGTCTTTTGTTCCAATTTCACATTGAAATAAAACATCTGATTGTCTGGTCTTAATTTAGGGGATTTATTGTGAAGGAAATATCTTATTGCACTTTTTGAGTATCTACCATAAAGGTAAATGCTAAGCATTTATTTCCAGTGATTGTCAAACAATGAGTTATTGAAACTTTGTAAATATACACATTCATATACATTACTGATATGAAGTTCCTCCAACTCTGAATGCATCATGACTGAATGTAATGCATAAAACAAGGACAATGCATCATCCTACATTCATACCACAAGAACAAGTATCCAGTTTAACAAAAAAACTACTCGTCTGACTGATAATTCAAGGCCAACACATGTTGACGATTTTCTCAAAAAACATGTGTGCATCACAAGGGTATGACTGCATCATCTGAACAGACAAAACATTTCTGGATGACACTCTGAAATCCTACAATGTACATATATATATATATATACCAATGTAACATGCAAATATTGTAATTATTATGAACATAATTTTTGAGGAAATCTGTAAAATGTCGGTTCTGAAATTATCAGACAGACTTTAGTCAAGTAGCCATGACAACAATCTAGGACTCCTCTTGACATGAGCACCATGGCCACAACAGCATGGTGCTTCTTGGATTCCATACATCTTGGGCGTGCAACGTGGATTTCTTATTGGAGTCAACAAGAAAATATTCATATACATACCATAAATACTATGACAATAATAGTGTTTGAGTCAAAATACATAATTTGTACACATTCTGATTGTTGCTACACAGGCATCCAAAACAACAAACATAACATTGTATGTTCAGTTTTTTAAGTTTTGTCAATAGTGTTACCTCAAGGGTACATGTCCACTATTTGTCTAAAGCCTTGAGTGGTTTAAAATGTGCCTAGAATATCCAAGAATAAGCCTTTCTCAAAGTGTCTGTCAGATTAATATACATGGGCCCTGGGCCTATCTGAGAAGAATGGTATATTGTTTAGTCTGAACAGACTCAAGGAGGGGAGTATAGTGTATTTACTGCAGCCAATCTGGACCTTGAACTGAAAATTCATTTACAACATATTTTGGTATTTCTATGTAATAAAAAGATATGGAGGAGAAGCTACCAGAAGAAAATATTAGTGGTAATCATTTATGTCTGAAAGTCTACCACGTGGCATATTCTCTCGGCCTCAGGGAAGTCTACAGAAGGGAGAGTCAGAGGATTTCACGCAGCATAGAACCAATAGTGTGGTCATCCCTGAGAAGTAGCTTAAGAGCATAGAAAGAGGCACAAATATTAACATCAACATTTACAAATAACAACAAAATCTTGTGTCAAAAGAAAACAAGAAACAGACTGCAGCTTGCACATAAAGCTCCAATGGTCCATGTAATTGAGGTATCGAGTTCTGTACCTGTACCAGACACAATCTACAACAAGAGCTTGCCACAGCTTGCCACAATGGTTTATTTTGGGGGCCAACTTGGTGTAATGACTGTAAATCTTGTGACAATGAACAATGTGTTTTATGAACTTGGTGATGTGTATCCACGTTGAGGACTGAGCTGTTTCAACCATCAGCCCCAAACATAGATATGTATTGTCATTCTGCGAATTCTGTTGTTACAGTGTAGGAATTGTACATCAATGCTTGACAGCAACTCTGAATGAGGCCCATGGGCCAGCTACTCAATGAGGATCTCTGTCATCAAATTTGAAATATCCTAACTAAACATAATTGATGAACGCTTTTGATGGTTGGACCGCTGATAAACAGGACATAATTGTCCAATGCCATAGATGCCAAGATACAAAGTCATCTTTTTTACACACTATACCTTCAGGATAAGCTCTCGATACCCATGACATTGCACATTGATCAGTAACTAATTTCTCATGTAATAGACTCTGTGATGCATGCTACAATGCATCCTTCTCAGGGAATGATATGTTTCTAAAGTCGATGTACTTAAATTTTCCATGCATGTATTATCTGAGCCTAATGAGATTCTTTGCACCAGAATGTGTCCCTGCTAACCTTAGCTAATGGCCTATCACTTATCAACTACACCAAATGTGTTTAGTCAACAATAGAGGTCACAGAACTTTCACAATAATACTTCATATACCTCACCATGGCAAAATGTTGGGTTAATTGTTTCACTTTAATCAATACCCCATACAAAATTAATCATATGTAAACAAGTACAAATACATTTTAGGGTTATCAAATTCAGATTCACAAAAGGATTCTTGTAAAATTTGAACAGGTAGTAAGTAGCTAGTGAAAAATTCAAATTAAGTTACAAGACCTTTATTGTGAGGTAGGCATTGAAGGAGGAAATGCAGAAAAATGTTTATGAATTTGCAGTATTACAAATGAATGATATAGCAATATTCAGCATCCCTACTAAATGCATATTTTCCAAACTTTTCAGACAAACAGTTTGTTTTTTTAAAAAAAAGAGTACTAACGCACGCTATAACCTCTTCCATCTAATAGCTCATTTTGCTGGAGACAATGTATCCACTAAAGTTGATCTCCATCATGTGTACCAGCTTTCTGCTTCAAAGATAGCAAGCAATTTATCTCATTAATATTCCACAAGTTGGAGATCAGCAGTAATTATAAATGCTCTTTTGATGTGTTACTTCTTAACTTGAACAATGCAAAAACAATCAATCTTTTCCTTAGAACATCTCGCACTGGGAGCATGACCACCTTTTAATTGCTACAAGTCTATACCCATTACCACAAATGCTTAATTGCTTGTGATGCTTTTAACTGTATGATTAGTTATTTCTTGAAGTCAGGAGTTGATTAATATAAATGAAAAAGAGAATATGGGTCACATACACGAGTAACCAACGTGTAGATGTCGTACCTGTGGCCCTACCTCCCTGAAGCTCCAAGTATTTGTAAACACTACAAAGATTCGAGAAACTAGGTCCTGCTGTATCAGCAACAATTGTTACAGATTGTGCCTGTATCAGCAACAATTGTTACAGATTGTGCTGTATTGGCAACACAGTTGTTACAGATTGTGCCTGTATCAGCAAACAATTGTTACAGATTGTACTGTATTGGCAACACAATTGTTACAGATTGTACTGTATTGGCAACACAATTGTTACAGATTGTACTGTATTGGCAACACAATTGTTACAGATTGTACTGTATTGGCAACACAATTGTTACAGATTGTGCCTGTATCAGCAACATTTGTTACAGATTGTGCCTGTATCAGCAAACAATTGTTACAGATTGTACTGTATTGGCAACACAATTGTTACAGATTGTGCCTGTATCAGTAACAATTGTTATAGATTGTGATGTATCAGCAACAATTACTACAGACTTTGCTGTATTGGCAACACAGTTGTTATAGATTGTGCCTGTATCAGTAACAATTGTTACAGATTGTGCCTGTATCAGCAACACAATTGTTACAGATTGTGCCTGTATCGGCAACAATTGTTACAGATTGTGCCTGTATCAGCAACACAATTGTTACAGATTGTGCCTGTATTAGCAACAATTAATACAGATTGTGCTGTATTGGCAACAAAATTGTTACAGATTTAGCTGTATTGGCAACAATTGTTACAGATTGTGCTGTATCGGCAACAATTGTTACAGATTGTGCTGTATTGGCAACACAATTGGTACAGATTGTGCCTGTATCAGCACCAATTGTTACAGATTGTGCCTGTATTAGCAACAATTGTTACAGATTGTACTGTATTAGCAAAAATTGTTACAGATTGTGCTGTATTGGCAACAAAATTGTTACAGATTGTGCCTGTATCAGCAACAATTGTAACATATTGTACTGTATTGGCAACACAATTGTTACAAATTCTGCCTGTATCAGCAACAATTGTTATAGATTGTGCCTGTATCATATAGGTTAAAAGATTTAGTGATATTGAAGTGAAAATTTCAGAAAATTTCCACCTGATTAGCAACGTCTGATGACCATGATGAGAATGTTAATTCCTGCAGAAGCTGGCATAGCAGTGACATGAAGCTTCTTCCTGTCCTCCTCTACACATACAACAAGACAATATGCTCAGTGTGTGTCTCACATAGCCATGGTCTAGTGCCCATTACAGCACAACGTACATGGGCAACTATCTGTGTACCTTGAAAAAACATGGACCCAACAATTTCTGGATTTATACCCCAAATCTCTTTCTTTCGGCTTTCCAGTGATTAAATGAGAGTTAAGGTTCTAGTCTTCTCGTTAAAATCTCACAATGGTACAACAAATGAGACATTTCAATCTCTGTGAATGACTTATGACAGACGCAACAATAAAAAGTGATATCTCATATGACAGATTCTGATACAGAATATTGATAATAATAATCTCTGAAAACCCCTACTACACATGCCCTCGTAGAATGTGCAAAATGCACACCATTGTTTCCGCATATGCCCTACCTGTTCCATCAATAACATTGGTTCTAGTAAGCCATAAAATCTTGGAATCTGAACACATATAACAGATGCGGGCACATGTTGTGGGGTTGTCACTGTACACTGGCAAGCACACTTCACCTGTTACTCTCTGTAACCTTAACAAACCTAGCTAAGTATCAGCAAACTAAATCTGAATGTACTAGTATTGTTCTATACTGAACCAATTCCTTATCATACCCTGCGTACAATGATTGTCAGAATGAGAATCAAACAAGTGAAGAGTGCTGCACTAATCTCAATATGATTGTCATGACAGGCCGATTCCGTCAGTCAGTCCTCCCTTGGTAGGCGTGGCATTGTCTTGTGACCTTGACCTTCTGGAACCATGACCTCACCCATTCGACACAATTTTTTTACTAGACAGCCTCGTAAAGGCTCATCAATTGTCCTCACATAAAATGAACATACAATGTATCTGATTGCAAAATTCAGTCTGCATAACTTATGTATTGTTCCATCTCTGAGCTAGCCGTATGACCCACCAGAGGATTGTCAATCATGGAGACATGCAGATATCCATCCTGAATCCTTCAGTGCTGAGGCAGTAAGGCTTGGTAATGTCATACTGTCCCGTTTTCCTGACCCCCTCGCCCTGCTCGGCCTGGGGGTGGGAACGTGTGCGCCTCGCCTGCTACCTTCAGAGACCAGTGATGTGGCCTCCGATATTATGCCGCCGTTGCCATCGTCCAGCGTGCACACAGCTCCTGATTGTCTTGTCTATACACACACCTGGTCACAGTTACACTCAGATTCGGCGTGGATGCTGTGCGAAGAGAACACCCTGATACATGATGCCGTTGATCTCCATGCTGACGACCAGAGAGTTGTCGATTTCCGAGCGACCATCATCTGAAATACAGACTAGCAGTGCCAGGTGAACATGTCACTGGATGGAGGTAAGCATGTCACAGATCACAGATGGGGACATAGTATGGGTAAGCATGTCACAGATGGGGACTTAGTAAGGGTAAGCAGGTCACAGATGGGGACATAGTAAGGCTAAGCATGTCACAGATCACAGATGGGAACTTGGTAAGGGTAAGCATGTCATAGATCACAGATGGGGACATACTAAGGGCAAGCATGTCACAGATCACAGATGGAGACATAGTGAAGAGAAGCATGTCACAGATCACCGATGGGGACTTAGTAAGGGTAAGCATGTCACAGATGAGGACATAGTAAGGGCAAGCATGTCACAGATCACAGATGGGGACTTAGTAAGGGTAAGCATGTCACAGATCACAGATGGAGACATAGTGAGGAGAAGCATGTCACAGATCACAGATGGGGACTTAGTAAGGGTAAGCATGTCACAGATCACAGATGGAGACATAGTGAGGTGAAGCATGTCACAGATCACAGATGGGGACATAATAAGGGTAAGCATGCCACAGATAACAGATGGGGACATAGTAAGGGTAAGCATGTCACAGATGGGGACATAGTGAGGTGAAGCATGTCACAGATCACAGATGGGGACATAGTAAGGGTAAGCATGTCACAGATGACAGATGGGGACATAGTAAGGGTAAGCATGTCACAGATGGGGACAAAGTGAGGTGAAGCATGTCACAGATGACAGATGGGGACATAGTAAGGGTAAGCATGCCACAGATCACAGATGGGGACATAGCAAGGGTAAGCGTTTCACAGATGGGGACATAGTAAGGGTAAGCATGTCACAGATGGGGACATAGTAAGGGTAAGCATGTCACAGATGGGGGACATAGTAAGGGTAAGCATGTCACAGATGGGGACATAGTAAGGGTAAGCATGCCACAGATCACAAATGGGGACATAGTAAGGGTAAGCATGCCACAGATCACAGATGGGGACATAGTGAGGTGAAGCATGTCACAGATGGGGACATAGTAAGGGTAAGCATGTCTCAGATCACAAATGGGGACATAGTAAGGGTAAGCATGCCACAGATCACAGATGGGGACATAGTGAGGTGAAGCATGTCACAGATGGGGACATAGTAAGAGTAAGCATGTCACAGATGGGGACATAGAAAGGGTAAGCATGTCACAGATGGGGACATAGTAAGGGTAAGCATGTCACAGATGGGGACATAGTAAGGGTAAGCATGTCACAGATGGGGACATAGTAAGGGTAAGCATGTCACAGATGGGGACATAGTAAGGGTAAGCATGTCACAGATGGGGACATAGAAAGGGTAAGCATATCACAGATGGGGACATAGTAAGGGTAAGCATGTCACAGATGGGGACATAGTAAGTGTAAGCATGTCACAGATGAGGACATAGCAAGGGTAAGCATTTCACAGATGGGGACATAGTAAGGGTAAGCATTTCACAGATGGGGACATAGTAAGGGTAAGCATGTCACAGATGGGGGACATAGTAAGGGTAAGCATGTCACAGATGGGGACATAGTAGGGGTAAGCATGTCACAGATGGGGACATAGTAAGGGTAAGCATGTCACAGATGGGGACATAGTAGGGGTAAACATGTCACAGATCACAGATGGGGACATAGTAAGGGTAAGCATGCCACAGATCACAAATGGGGACATAGTAAGGGTAAGCATGCCACAGATCACAGATGGGGACATAGTAAGGGTAAGCATGTCACAGATCACAGATGGAGACATAGTGAGGTGAAGCATGTCACAGATGGGGACATAGTAAGGGTAAGCATGTCTCAGATCACAAATGGGGACATAGTAAGGGTAAGCATGCCACAGATCACAGATGGGGACATAGTGAGGTGAAGCATGTCACAGATGGGGACATAGTAAGGGTAAGCATGTCACAGATGGGGACATAGAGAGGGTAAGCATGTCACAGATGGGGACATAGTAAGGGTAAGCGTGTCACAGATGGGGACATAGTAAGGGTAAGCATGTCACAGATGGGGACATAGAAAGGGTAAGCATGTCACAGATGGGGACATAGTAAGGGTAAGCATGTCACAGATCACAGATGAGGACATAGTAAGGTTAAGCATTTCACAGATCACAGACTGGAACTTAGTTAGGGTAAGCATGTCACAGATGGGAATTTAGTAAGGTGAAGCATGTCACAGATCACATGGGCAAACACCAACTTGATGAACATGTTTGTTTTTTGTTACAGATGTCAGATTTGAGAATTAACACAAACATGTCACATACGAAGGTAAGCATGCAATATATTTAGGCTTTGTCGATATAAAGGAAAGCAAAAGGGTTTTACAGGTATTTGATCAGGTAAGCATGCACATGTATGTGATAATTATGATATAGAAACTTAATAACAATGTAAGCATGTCACACATTTCAGATTGTTCCTTCATAACGGACACTACACTTGAGGAAGACAGCCCTTTGAATCACCAGCATAATCAGTGATAATATTTGATGCATCAATTTTCCTGACATCTGAGTAATAAACACAAGATCAACTTTTCAAATAAAATGGAAAGTAGTTTCTAAATCAAAATCCCAGATGGTAAACAAGATGACAGGCTACATGATAGGTTGATGATGGAGACTATATATACACTTGCCAGGCACCCCATCAACTGCACATAAGGAGCACAGTACCTCAATCAATAAAGAATAGCTTAAGGATAGTTCATAAGTACTTAGAAATGATCACAATACTGTTCAATTTCCATTCTAACATTTCAAAGGATACATTTTTATACTTCATCTCAAATCCCAATCCACTCTTTTTAATGCCACAGGGACACATGGCAGAGTATTAATGATGCCTTAATTGTCAGTCCACCTAGTGTGGCGGGGCATTGGAACACCTACGTAGTGTTTCTTAGAACTCGCCATCCACCCCTGAGTGTGGCCTGGTCCCCCTGGGCTAACTGTACCCGGAGGCCCCCATGCTGCAGGGGGCTTGTCATGTGTGACCCATCACCAGCTCATCACTTATTCAAGCACATGCTATGCCGTGTGATCTTGTGATGTGAAAGAAACCCTCTTGATTCCTTCGTGATATCACGCTTGCATAGATCAACGTATCTGTCCTCCATTTAAGGTCTGTGTTAATAATTAACATCTCTTTTTGATAAGCCTACTGTTGAATTAAGCCATTTCCACGGATGGCACATCACAATGACGGTGCCACAATTGTTCAATAAACATATGGATTTTTTATGGGACAGGGTGCAGTTGTCTCACACTCTGTAATCATTTCATTAAAAATTATAATTATTTCTGACATTTTTTCCTGCTTTATTTTCCAACAAGGCTATAGAACAATGCATCTCCAGCAATAATTTATGTCGGGACAACGTCTCAGAAAGTAACTGAGCTTACTTCGACTTGTGATCTTGAGATGAGCACTGGGCATACCAGCATGGGCCAGTATTCTCTCTTCCTCTGACAGCATGCGTTTACGTGGGGGACCTTCTTCGATGGGCGTGGTGCGTGATGCCGCCTCCATCTTGCGGGTAGCTTCTTCCATCGCCCGCGTTGCCACCTCCATGGCGATAGCATCACGCTCTGTCAAACCACGGCCATGCGGAAAATGCTGGGGGGTTGGAGGGAGGCTGTCATCATCATCTAAAAAACACATTACATAAAACATTGAATGTGAAATCATAATCCATACATCAAACTGTAACACAAATATCTATTTCATTATTCTTTATGCTTTGGGACTATGGGAGTCCAATTATGTTCAGGATTTAATGGAAACTTGTACAGTTATATATCAAGTTTTTCATTAAGACTTACAGTATTCGATGTAATAAACGCCCAGGGCGCTCTCAATATTAGAAATGGGGGGCTCTTATAAGAATATTATTTTGGTGAAAAAAAACAGAGTTCAAAGATAAATTTCATAGCCTGAAATGTTTATGTACAACAGATATATTTTTCCAAAATTATATGCCCATAATTAAGGGTGCATATAACACACAAGTGTGTATTTTACGCAAATAAATAAGTCTTGTGTACATTGATCAATCGGAAGGGGTGCTAATTGGGATTGTTCACTAGCCAATATCTTAGCAAATGTCGCCGTGGGCGCTTATTAGAGCTGGGCGCTTATTACGTCGAATACGGTAATTCTTTTTTTCATAACCCAGAGTGTAGAAAGAGTTGAGAGGTAAAAGGTCAACAACATTGGACATAAAACATGATTACATATGGCAGTTGGTAATACAGCAGAAACTGCTGACTGAAGTCGGCAGATGAAAATAAGATGATCATGATGAACAAAACATGTGATCAAGAAACACATTTTGTAAATTAAATACAAGACTTTCTTTCCCGGTGCAAAGGAGCGATACCATCTCCTTGACAAATACAACCATTATTGTGAAGCATGTGAACTGTGATATTTCTGTTTTGTCTGAATGATAAAAGTATATTTCCCAAGATTAAAGGCCGGTCCATTAGGCAGTTGAGGAAAAACTTGACAAGGCAAGAAAAAGGATAGGGAAAAAAAGTAGAGGAAACAGACACAAGCAGGTGTGGCGATTTAGCTCAACTCCAACTCGACGAAAAAAACACCCCACATTTGACATGATATCTAGCTTGGTATCGCCTGATATAACTTAAATTGACTCTGAACATGATTACATTGAATGGATTGCTTGTGTGAGCAGATCAAAGAAAAGAAGAAGAAGTCTGGTGTGATCTCGAGGCCAGGCTGCCTGTCTTTACCACAAACACAAGTTGTTGTCTCATGATAAAGTGATATATATTTATAAACCCATGGAGGTGAGAGGTCAACAAAGTTCTGATATCACCACCGATAAAGCAGTAATCGGAGAATCCTCACCATATCAATCCGAGCGAGACAATCCTGGGACTAGAATCCCAGTGATCTCACGGCAGAAGTTTCAGCTCTAGCCCCAACATTGAGCCCACTTTTCTGACAAGGTATCCATTTAAATGGCCTTCACAGCGATTAAATTACTTTGAAATTATAGTCTACAAATTACTTCTCATCTTAGTGTAGTTGACACAGACCAACATTTATATTGTTGATTTACGATGGTCTACATCTGATAAGCTGCTCACTCCTGACTAGGCTTCAACTACAATCATCAGGTTTATAATTTCATCTCAATCCTCCCAGGCTGAACAATACTGGCATTCGATATCAAAATTACACCTCCACGATTAAAGCCCTCCACTGTACTGAAACAACCCTGCCCGTTTCGGGAGCAAGCTTTTCAAAAGGCTCCTCGAAAGCACACCAGAAATTTCAAGTTGAATAAATGCATATCAGATCAAATTACGATAATTCTGACAGTTTTATTGCACAACTTGTGTAATTTATGTCAAAAAGCACTTATAAAGGCTAGCAGTTGTGCTCATGTGAGTGTCATACAATCCCTAAACAAATGACAACATATAAACTGATATCAAACCAATCAATTGCAATATTCATCTATGACTAACAGATAATATCTTCCTAACAACATCAACTTGTGATAGGTGAGCAAGTCCTGTTTCATTGTTGCTTCATAATTTATAGTCTACCTTATCGAGAGTGTTTCTCATCTATGACTAAGCCTTTGTTGATAAAATTCGTATTTTTCTACAGATTAGATCTCAAATAATAAATTTGACATCTCCTATCATTAAGAATTTAACTCAAGAATATTAAAAGACAGCATAGCATACAACAGCAATAAAATGGTGTATGTATGTACTTAAGTGTATGAATGATAACGATGAAGAGAAGATAATTTTATATCACAAGTTCAAAACCAACAATACACATTCTATTCACCCTGGCAAGAATGTAGAAAATGTTTTTAAAAAGAAAGTTATTACCATTTTACATTCATATAATACCAAGAAAAAAAATTAAAATAGTTTATCCTCCCTTGGATATACACATGAGTGTTATGAGTGCAGGTTCTTGAGGAACAATACCAATCTCGGCTGGGTGATCATTTTGAAAGGGATAAAGGCATGTTTCATCTCTCTATCAACTGTAAAACGTCATCATCATCTACTTACTGTCCATGTCGGGCCAGAGTTTGCCCGGAGATCCACCTCCGAGTTTGCCGTTAAGTAGAGTGCCGTTGAGATGATGGCTCGTGGGGACCAACGTGGGCCCGGGGGACAGGTCATACCCATAGCTGGAGCGACGCCCTTCCCGGCGGTTACCGTCAATAGCTGCCTGTAGTTCCTGTGGGGAACTCAGTTTCAGCTTCTCACATTCGTAGGGATAGAGGTACTTCATATACCTGAAAAGGAAAGTCAGTGTTATTATTAGGATGTTTAAAATAATGATATTTTTTTTTTTAAGGATGGCAGTGCATTTTCTAGGATATGATGAAACATATTTTGACAATGCCAAAAACATTTATGTTAAAACAAAAGATGAAATTTCAAAAGGAATGAAAATAGTTTTTATTCCACTTTTATTTATTTTTAACCTTATAAGCAAAACACCACATATTTGAAAATGTATCTTCATTAAAAAAACAGACAGTATGTGTGCTTTTTCAACAAACATAACTTTCACAAGAAAAGCAAAATTTATGTCTATCTTTCAACCAGAAATATTTATTGCTTAATATCTTTAAAATACACAAAGCAAATGTCAAAGAAAATATTTTGTGTGTGTGCAATCGTAATTGTTTTGGTACCTTCAGTTTCTCTAATTTCCCAACAATTTTCACATATTCACCAATTATCAAATCATGATGTCAATCCAAGACGGTCCCATTCAAATAAATAGTGATGACAATGCCAAATTGGCACGAATGATTTGTGTGTTTCACCTGATAAACATCATCAGATCATAATTGATTGTATACTGGAAAACAGTTTCTTTATTGTGGAGGTTCCTGCCTGCTGGCCTAGACACGGCTTTTTAGTTGTTTGTTACACATAGGAGCACAGACATCGGGGAAGTAGTATTCCGGTTATTTCCACGGATAATTATCACTTTGCACTGATAGGCGCACCTAGTCCCATTGTCTGATAACATGCAACTTCTATATCCCTTTTTATGCAAAAAACTTCTACATCCATTTGTTGTGCCAAACATGCATGTATACAGACAATTGTACATCTAATCATTTCTGAAAAAAGGCAAATTTTTAAAGTAATCCGGACTAGAAATTGTCACTGAATTAACAAAAAGATAAACTCAATTATTGCTCAATAATTTTCACGTCATTTAGGAATTACGTAAGGACAAATGATATGTTGTATGAGAATAGTACAGTATGAAAAATATAAAACTGCACCAAACTGGAAGCCATATTTGAACTTAAGAGTGCAGATATGCTGTTGGACTGAAGATAGCCATCATTATTTCTGTTAAACAAGACCAATGTAAATATAATTCTAACCTTCGATACATGATTAACTCACAACATCCCTGCATTCACAGACTTTAATTGGGATTTTTATTGTAAATCAAACACTGGTTCTTTGTACCACCCCAACAGGTGTAGCGTCTCAACACGAATTCCACCCAAAAGTCTTTACAAACACTACACAATTAATTGGACTTGTGATTGTAAAAAAATCCCCCACCATATAAAATAGTTCAGTGCCACTTTAAAAACATCCTGTGTGTGGCTGAAAAAATGGAGTAACAAAAGTTGGGTGTCGAGCTAGGTGTAACATGATAAATGTAGTTATAGAATAATGTGGGATTGTTAGCAAATCGCACACTATCAAATATCCCCAACATATGTTGGTATCTTTCAATAAAGTCAGACGTTTTCTTAGATTCTCCTAAATTAATGGACGGCCAGAGCATTTCTGCCTCTGCAGCAGAAGTTAAATGCTCTGCCGAATGTGGTTACTTTAGCTTGATATAGATGGCCATATGTGTATCAAGAAAGCCGGAAATTATAATAAGCGTGTTGACATATTTGGAATGAATTAGCTGCAAGGCTCCTGGCGGCGGAATTTACATCTATTTGGACAGCTGGAAGAATCTTGGGAAATCAAATTCGGAATTTGGAGGGCAAAAAATTAACTGGTAAATAATACACAGTGTGATTATTAATGACATTGTACTTGGAATGGAAACATCCAGACTGAATCAAAATACAAGGGAAAAACGATAGGAAGCTGGGTTAATCTCCACCAGATTGAAGCAATTATTAAAGGAGCACCTCCCAAGTGAGTGTGTTTCCTCTTTCATCTCTTCCACTGCTTTGCATTCATCTCCTATTGGAAACTTGTAAGGATGGTAGGTGGCCTACATATTAAAAACGTTACCTGTTCACAAAAAAACAAAATTCTCCTACAAGACAAAGAGTAATGCAAACTAAGAATCCACACTTGATTGTACATCTGCAGTGTAGACTAAGGTAGATCCCTTAGGATGAGGAATGTATGTTACATTACGAAACAGACCAAATCACATTTTCTTTTTTTGTTTTGCATTACAGTCAAAAAACAAAAATGAAATTGGTATGTCAAAACGTAAGTCATACAAATAATTTCTGAAACAATTTTCTTATGAAAATTGAATGGTCCTTAGAAAGCATTACTACCTAAGTTAATTTAAAAATAACTGAAACAGAGTGTCAAAAAAAGAGTGACTGTGTGAGTGAGTTGGGTTTAACGCCGCTTTTAACAGTATTCCAGTTATATTGCAGCTTAATGTGGGAGGAAAGCCCGAAGTGATGCAGGTCTCAGACGTTTACCACTTTGGTGAAACCCATGAGCACGGGTATGGTGCTGACAAACCTAGAAACATAATCGGAGCAAACCAGGATTCGAACCCACAATCACAGGTTTCTGGCATACCCAAGGGACGCAACTCTGCACAGCGAATTGTGGTGCCCAAAAAAGAGTGACCAATATGACAAGACATGTTTCTCCAACAACCCCTCAAGCTACACTCCAAGAAACCTGTTACCACTGTTTATTCCAGTCCACAAAGCTAAGCTGATATCTACATTGGTGATAGATAGATGATATAATGCCAGGATATCTGGACAGGATACTATTACAGATCTTCTATGAATATCTATCTTGATAAAAGCAGCTATGTGGGGCATATGGAGAGTATTACATCTTTGACTTTTATCACCAGCAAGAATTCCCAGAGTCTGACATCAGGTCATCAATGCTATTATAACCCCACATAAACCCAACCTTCCAGCCATGGGGGGCAAGTTATAGCTGCAAACAGACATATGCCAGTACCACCAAATCCCCACAGAGGCCAAACATTTACATGTGTGTGTGCATGAAGAGGAATAAACATATGTCTGGATTGGACCAGGAACAATGTTTGTGATGTATTTGACAATAATGATGATGACTATGGTGTATGGGTCCAGACATCCTTGCATCCAAGCTTCAGAGGTTGTGGTGGAAATAGAGTGCCAACCGATGGTGCTAGAAGAGTACTTATTCCAGAGCTTAATCTTCTTCACATCTGCTTGTTCAGGTAGCCTGCTCGAGCCATCACCACAATCCCACATTAAAAGGTCACTTTGATTCACCCATATATTACTTAATCCCCCCTAACCTTCAGATCTTTAATTAGTTCTGCAAGATCTTCACTAGGGAGCTACATATTGGGGCTATTAACCTTTTGTGTCATCAAATAGGTTGTGGCTTGCACAGTGTTGCGTTATCACTTTGCCAGCTTAATTCTAACTTAATTATGGGAAAGACATCGTCTCTAAAGAGAAACCCTTCAGCCAAGTTTTGTTACATAAAGTATAAGTTTGGTAAAAAGGCTAAATTCGTTATATTATGACTTGGTTACATTGTTCAAGACGTAATCATCTTTTGGAAGTACTGCATGATAAGAAAACCTCAAGTTTAATTAACATTTGATAACTGACATATTTTGCAGCTTAAAACTCAGTCAAGTAAATGTATAGAACACACACGATAGACTAATACAGCACTTCAGATATGAATTCCTTTCACTTATTTATAGCCCACAAATAGCTTTCTTCATGTCTATATGATATCACATTCAATTAACATTGCCTGACACGAAATTGCCCAATAATCAAGGGAATTTGAACATTTCTTTGATCATCCTAAATATAGAATCTTAATATCTGTCTTTCTCATTCCAAGTTGCAAAATGCTGTTTTTTTCTGCTCTGTAGGTCACATTGTAGCGCTTATTGGAAGGTAATATGCACCGGCATATTCACCCTTCATAAAGTATCCCCCAGGTTGTCCCACCCCCCACCCCTGTGCCGTCAGCTACCCATAGGTAAACACTACAATTACAGTTCTACCTTCTACCAACACCTCCATAACCAACCAATTGATCACATACGTGAGTTTGCAACTTCTCTTCATAAATATTTTACTTGAATTAAGAATTACATAATATTTCCTTGCTTGGGATAATTGGAATTTGGCCGGAGCAATTGATTGTTCTTTCGCATAATTGACTACGGTAACATTTGGTGGCAACGATGAATATTTCATTTTAACGCATCGTCCAAATCATTTGGTATCAAGAGTAGCAAATGAAAGTAATTCAATTTTGTTTGCAGCGTCGAGATCTGTAAGCCATCAGTGTAGATGGTTCTTGCTACAAATGGAGTATATCGCTGGTCGATAACTCGCGCATCTCCGGGTAGTATCTGCAGTGGGCAGCAATGTGCCAATGAGCAGTGGATAATTACTGATAACTTCAGTTTAATTCCCTACATCAATAGTGCTCAACACCAGTAACGGGAATAACCCCTGTTCATTAAATCCCACGTGATAAAACACTATCTAATTGTACCACTTTCATTTGCTATAGAAATGTGCTTGTGTTTGATTTGTCACATTACCTCTCATAGAGAGGATGATGCAATATGTCCCTCCCCAAGCATGGGACATAGATTGATTTGTTCCATATTATAAGGGACGGGGGAAATACAACAATTAGGCTTAATTGTGTGAAGGAAAGGGAATTAACTCCAATAAACTGATGGGAACCGGTCCTCTCTAATGCATGTCTATGGGCAGAGACCAGGGAATTCCCTGCTCTCTTCACTGCTGGTATTTTTGCAATTCGTAATCATCTTATTATGAAATTATACCAAGCCAATCAAGGACTTTTTCTGTCTTTAATATCATTACAACAAAAGGCTTGATAACAAGTCATTAAATTAGATTCCCCTCCAAAGTAAAGGCACAAATTTTCAATCAGATTTTTTTTCTTGGGGAAGTTCTCAGATGAAATTCACAACAAAAAGTTTCCCAACTTTGTTGGATAAGATAGAATAGTCATTAATAATAAAAACTGCTTAAAAGGAAATCTGATCAGTCTATGTTCATTGTTGAGAGATTAGACATGTTAGAGGTCTTTAGGCTGTATATGGTTCTACAGTTACAGATGCTAGCATGATGCTGCACAATGCTGTGTGTTCTGTGGGGGAGTGCTGAGTCTGTGATAGACTGTTATTTAGTCCCAGAAATAAAATTACCTTATTTACAAATACATATCTACAAAATAAAAATTAATAAAATCCAAGTGGAGACCAGAACAATTCTTAATTTCAGCTAGAGCTGAGGCAATTTGGACTTGCAAAATTCATTCTAGACTGGAGTTTTTTCAATTTATTCCCTGGGGTCTGGGAGACAGGCTATGTCTGTGAGCGTTGTCTGTGTTCTGTTAGTGAGTGTGTGTTGTGAGTGTTCTGTGTCTGTGAGCGTTGTCTGTGTTCTGTTAGTGAGTGTGTGTTGTGAGTGTTCTGTGTCTGTGAGCGTTGTCTGTGTTCTGTTAGTGAGTATGTGTTGTGAGTGTTCTGTGTCTGTGAGCGTTGTCTGTGTTCTGTTAGTGAGTGTGTATTGTGAGTGTTCTGTGTCTGTGAGCGTTGTCTGTGTTCTGTTAGTGAGTATGTGTTGTGAGTGTTCTGTGTCTGTGAGCGTTGTCTGTGTTCTGTTAGTGAGTGTGTGTTGTGAGTGTTCTGTGTCTGTGAGCGTTGTCTGTGTTCTGTTAGTGAGTGTGTGTTGTGAGTGTTCTGTGTCTGTGAGCGTTGTCTGTGTTCTGTTAGTGAGGGTGTGTTGTGAGTGTTCTGTGTCTGTGAGCGTTGTCTGTGTTCTGTTAGTGAGTGTGTGTTGTGAGTGTTCTGTGGGTGAAGGCTGCATAATTGTCCTGAGAGTGAGCATGTTCTGTGAGTGAGTGTTGTGTGTGATTTGTGGGTGAGGGCTGCATATGCTCTGTGGATGGAGGCTGCATATGTTCTGTGGATGAATGCTGTGGATGAATGCTGCATATGTTCTGTGGATGAAGGCTGCATATGTTCTGTGGATGAAGGCTGCATATGTTCTATGAGTGAGTGAGTGCTGTGTGTGTTTTGTGGGTGAAGGCTGCATATGTGAGTGTTGTGTGTGCTTTGTGGGTGAAGGCTTTATATGTTCTGTGGGTGAATGGTACAAAGGTTCTGTGATCAAGTGTGTTCTATGAGTGAGTGAGTTTGGTTCAATGGTTTCTCTAAGTGAATGTAGTATGCATGAGTTATGTAAGTGAATGCCCTGTGTGTTCTGTGATTGGCTGCCAAATGTTTTATGAAAGTGAATGCTGTGTGCATATGTTCTGTAAGTGAATGTTGTATGTGTTCATGAACAGGAAAGGACACCTACAGTGGACTAAGTGTGAATGCTGTATGTGTTCATGAACAGGAAAGGACACCTACTGTGTTCTAAGTGTGAATGCTGTATGTGTTCATGAACAGGAAAGGACACCTACTGTGTTCTAAGTGTGAATGCTGTATGTGTTCATGAACAGGAAAGGACACCTACTGTGTTCTAAGTGTGAATGTTGTATGTGTTCGTGAACAGGAAAGGACACCTACTGTGTTCTAAGTGTGAATGTTGTATGTGTTCGTGAACAGGAAAGGACACCTACAGTGGACTAAGTGTGAATGCTGTATGTGTTCATGAACAGGAAAGGACACCTACTGTGTTCTAAGTGTGAATGCTGTATGTGTTCATGAACAGGAAAGGACACCTACTGTGTTCTAAGTGTGAATGCTGTATGTGTTCGTGAACAGGAAAGGACACCTGCTGTGTTCTAAGTGTGAATGTTGTATGTGTTCGTGAACAGGAAAGGACACCTACAGTGGACTAAGTGTGAATGCTGTATGTGTTCATGAACAGGAAAGGACACCTACTGTGTTCTAAGTGTGAATGTTGTATGTGTTCATGAACAGGAAAGGACACCTACTGTGTTCTAAGTGTGAATGCTGTATGTGTTCATGAACAGGAAAGGACACCTGCTGTGTTCTAAGTGTGAATGTTGTATGTGTTCGTGAACAGGAAAGGACACCTACTGTGTTCTAAGTGTGAATGTTGTATGTGTTCATGAACAGGAAAGGACACCTACAGTGGACTAAGTGTGAATGTTGTATGTGTTCGTGAACAGGAAAGGACACCTGCTGTGTTCTAAGTGTGAATGTTGTATGTGTTCATGAACAGGAAAGGACACCTACTGTGTTCTAAGTGTGAATGCTGTATGTGTTCATGAACAGGAAAGGACACCTACTGTGTTCTAAGTGTGAATGCTGTATGTGTTCATGAACAGGAAAGGACACCTACTGTGTTCTAAGTGTGAATGCTGTATGTGTTCATGAACAGGAAAGGACACCTACTGTGGACTAAGTGTGAATGCTGTATGTGTTCATGAACAGGAAAGGACACCTACTGTGTTCTAAGTGTGAATGTTGTATGTGTTCGTGAACAGGAAAGGACACCTGCTGTGTTCTAAGTGTGAATGTTGTATGTGTTCGTGAACAGGAAAGGACACCTGCTGTGTTCTAAGTGTGAATGTTGTATGTGTTCGTAAACAGGAAAGGACACCTACTGTGTTCTAAGTGTGAATGCTGTATGTGATTGTGAACAGGAAAGGACACCTACTGTGTTCTAAGTGTGAATGCTGCACTGGTGATGGAGGATGGGAGGTTGAGGCCCTTGGTGATCTCCCGCCACAGTTTCTTGTTGATGACCTCCACGAGGCCGCCCTTGGACACCACCAGGCGGAACAACTCATACAGGTCCAGGGTCTGCTTGGCCATGATGGGAATCCGATTCACAGGGGTCCCTGCAAAAAAACAACCAGTGTCACTCAAACTTGTAGAGAGAAGAACAGGTCTTGAGCAACCCATGCTTGTCGTAAAAGGCAACAGTGTTGTCGTAAGAAGCGACTAACAGAATCAGGTGGTCAGACTCTCTGACTTGGTTGATGCATGTCATCGTAAACCAGTTGCGTAGATTGATGCTCATGATGTCAATCACTGGATTGTCTGGTCAAGAATCGATTATTTACAGACCACCGTCACACAGCTCCTGGAATATTGCTGAGTGTGGCATTAAACAACAAAGAAATAAACAAACAAACAAATATTATTCAGATTTGTGCTGATGAATACACTGAGCATTTGCACTTCAGTCTCTAACACCATGTTAGAACTGAAATACTGCTCAAAGCGACATAAACCCAACTCACTCACAGATTCCAGAGTACAAATTTAATCAAACAACCACCTCCAGTCCATTCCCACCCCCATCTCAGCTCCAGCAGCCAAGGTTACTTAATACACAAGGGCTCCTATTATTATTGTTACCTAACCTTATACTTAGCAATGTTTCTAGTCTGTCTTACAGACCCTGATACAAATATATATCAAATACAGCCCATGAAAGTCTATAATGTTTGGCAAGTCTAGATTACTGCAGTATCAGGAAAATGAAGAGAGTCTCTGGGCTCCCTTTTATTATATTTTTATTAAGATAATTGATAACTGTTTTTTTCTGTACGATATGTTCATTTCAGAGACTAGATGTGAGTCTACAGTTTCCAAGACTATATGTTAGTCTAACACCTTCGGCAATATCATCCGTGTGCTCTAAGTAGGCTTAAAGTCAATGTTATTGTCATAACACTAAACAAAATCAATAAACCAAAAGAACTAAAAGGCACGGGCAGTTTCAACATTATTTACTAGCCACAAAACTATGAGTGGCTGCTTCCAACAGATGGACATCATTCAGTAGCATCCACATACGACAGTCACTGAAATCACGCATACACTCACAGACCGACTCAGATGTTGGGATGGCTATATATAGACAAGATACGATAAGATATTTATTGTGGAACATTCCATCGAGAAACAGTGGCAATATTCTACAAACTACAAATATATGAACAGTAGGTACATTCTCTGTACATTCTACATAAATATTAGGTATTAACAATTTCTTTTTAAAACAAATGTAACATTATGATGTGGAAATATAAAGTGAGAGATGAATATCTACACACTGTGTGCGGACCTGATTGGCTAAGAGTAATATATAGTCCCCATAATACAGTTATACATAAGGTTAAATAAAGATAATAGAATGAATGAATCCTTGATTATTAAGTAATCCTAAATCTCTTAATTTCATGGCTGAAAAGAGGATGAGTATGGGCTGCATTGGCTGAGAAGGATGAGAATTGAATGGGGTGATTGTTTTATTAAACATACCATAATAAGAGCCCAGGGCGCTCTCAAAATTAGAAATAGGGGTCTCTTATTAGAATATAATTTTGGTGAAAGAGTCAAAAGATCGTAAATTTTATGGTTATTGCTGACAGCCTAAAATGATACAAAAGAAAAGTCTGTGCGTATTATACACGACAGATATATTTTTCCAGAATTTAATTGCCCGTAATTAAGGGTGCATATAACACATGAGTGCGTATTATACACGGAAAAAAATATACACGAATTGTGTACATTGATCAGTCGGAAGGGTGCTAATTGGGATTGTTCACTAGCCAATATATTGGAAAATATCGTCGTGGGCGCTTATTAGAGAGGGGCGCTTATTACGTCGAATACGGTATGCTCAGGAGACAAAGGTTGGCTGTCCACACTCTAACCTCAGACATGGACTCAATTACAATTTTACATACACAAGTATTTGCATCAGGCTTCAGACATAAAAGTCTCTAATACCATTTTCAATTACCAAACTATTCCTAAAACTTCACAGCAAATACAGGATCTGGAGGAATTTCAAAATTGTATCACATTCAGAAATCATCATAGACAAATCTAAACTGTAACTATTTCAAAAAGAATTCATGATGTAAAATGTAAATTCTCTGTTAATGCTATCAAGCTTAAGTAAGCCAATCATCAGGCTCCGCAGTAATGATAAGCTTGTATCTGTAGCATGCATGAATGCACTGTGGAAAATGTCATTATTACCCTCATACCAGCTTGATAAGGGTCAATAAATGTATTACATCATAAGTGACTTATCTGAACCCATGAAGGAGTTACCAAACCCTATCAAGCCCTCACTAATACACCATCCCTTATTCATTATAACAGCATTAGAGGAGGCAATCGGAAGCTCTTATCAACTCGATTACATTGCCCCTTTAATTGGCAGCTGGTATAAAACAATATCACACACAGTCAGCCTGCTGGTGCTGGGTTCCTGGAAGCTAGTCCCAGACTCTGGGTGGTAGCTGCGCATTAGCTGTAATAGCCTCGCAAGCATTTGGGCCAGTTAATGTATTAAGCTGAATTTTATTTATTGTTAACTTTTATACATGACTATTGTTGAACACTATACAATGAAAGGAACATGGTACAAAGGTGTAAATCTACCTATTTGATTTGTTATATTTGTCAGATAAATGAGATTGATTGTGACTGTAAGTATTTCATAATCATTGGGAAGTTTGATTAATGTGTGAATTGACTGTGGGTAAGGTTTCAAGCAGCTTGTTTGTTACTTTGGTAATTTTTTGTTTTCTTGATTCTTGCTAATTTATATATACTGTGTTAGTTTGATTAAGAACTATGGCATACCAAAACACTTAAGGTTCCTTGCAATTGTTTTACTATTTGACATTTACAATATTTGAAACAGTTTATTACTTACTAGAATGAAAAAATAGAATATCATTACGAATTAGATGCATTAAAGTAATGCATTGATTGGTAATATATCGAGTTTAACCTGCAAATAATATACTAGTATTAAATAATTAGTATACATGTATCTTTTTATCTGCAGATATTCTACCAACTGTGTGACTGGTATCATTTTCTCTCTTAATTCGTTAAACTATTTAATTAAATCTAAACTAAATCTGTAATCAAATCTAACAATAAATTATTGCTTAAATATCTATTTACATGTATATATGCAGTATATGCAGTATATATTGAATGGATAAGTATGAAAAGGTTATTTAACATGTTCTTAATTTAATTGGCCATTCCTGTTTCACATGCAGCCTTATTGTTTCAAATTTGTAGAATATGGCAATTGATCTGATGATGCCTGTGCTCTGACCAGCGCTAACATAGTTGCCAGCTCATTGCCACATAGTGGTAAGTTGTGTGTACTTGGTGTATATTGTGTTTACATCATGGTAATTGGTAGTGGTGGTAATTATGTAATGTCTCAAGTATTTTAAGTTGTAATTTGGCTTAAAATCAATAGTTAATCATTCAAGTTTACTGTAATTACTGTTTTGTGTGTTTGTTACAGAAATGTTTAACATCAAGTATCAATAGTGTTTCTCGTATGCATAACATATTGGATTGGGTGAGCTTTGTATCTAAAAGTAGTTTATGCATCTGTGTGTTGATACTATGTGTTATGTTTGTGTAATTTCATCTGATAGATATTTTCATTGTATTTATGCAATTTTGCAGAATAAAGGAATAGCTGTCAACTCACACCACAGTAGCTTGTTCTGTGTTTTGCTGCTCTAACCGTAGCCTTGCCTAATAAACTCATAACTGTCTAGATGTTCTTAATTCAATTTAAAACTGATCTTTATTTTCTTACTTCAATATAATTAATACACCTTCAATCATAATAGAGTTCATGCTCTTTCTTTAGAAAATAATTCTCTATCACACACAAACCCATTGTATGAAGACCCAACACCACGTTCAACATAAGGCTTTAACAATAGTAAGTGCAGCTACAGCATTCTATTCAGTTCATGTTTCAAACTTTAGTGTTTTATGGCAACATAACTTGTTCCAGTAGATTCCCTTTACAAGCTGACAGTGCTCCTCGCCCTCCCAAATGTACCCAGTATCACTGACACAGCCCATATACATCCCCCCAGCAGGCATCAAGGATGGAGGTGGTCAGCTCCATGGTAAAGTCATCACTGGGGCTTTGTGGGCTGGGGGTGAGGATCAGCAATAAATCAACTACAACAGCTCATCGACATGCACAATTGCAGCACATCAATGCTACCAGCTGTTCCTAGATAAATCAGTATAGGGAGTCGGTCGACCACAGCAGCAATGTGGAGATTTACTGCTATTCCCATCCACAAGGACATTCAAGCTACCATAAAAGTCTCTAATTTCACAGATATCAAGCCGTATCTTCATAAAACATGTCACAACTGAATAGCCTGATTTGTACATCAGAAACAACTTGCCTGCCTCATTTCAATGTCATTTCAATAACAATAAGATCCATGTCTCAACATTTATTATTCAAGAAAACATGTTATTTAATATACATACGCAAAAAGTAGAACAAAAAAGACATTTCAACCGGAACTGTGCACAGTATCAAGATTACAGTGATTATAAAGAATGAGTTTATTTTGTTTTGTGATGCACATGTGATATGTAGAGGAATAGTGAGGAATAGTGAGGAATATCCAGTAATGATACACAGGTAAGTGTACGAGCAGTGTGGAATGCTCTTCATGAGTACATGATTAATGTGATGTAACCCGGCTTATCTGGTGCCTGTTGACAAGGTTACAGCACCACAGCAGCTAGGGAGAGCAAGTCTATCTGCCATCCATCAGCACCAGCCTCCAATATCCCCTAGCTAACCCTACCAACTTGATCCATGCCATATGGACGAGGCTACACATAGAAAGACAAAGCTACAAATGTATCTAAGTCATAATTTACATGAGTTGGGGAACTGGAGCCTAATCTTCCTCACCAGGGGGTCAAACAGTAGTGACCTCTGGTGTTTATAAACTTCCGCCAACACTTCAAGCATTCATCACCCCCTTGAAATGATTGCCCCTTGATCCCCCTT